ATTATATACAAAAAAAACAGGGGAAATAAAACTACAACAAGAAAGGAAATAGAAAAAAATATTGAAAAAAAACATCAAATGATAGATATGAAGCAAGGCAAAATGCTTGCAAGCTTATTAGAGAAGCCATTCAAGAAAAATTTAAATTAACAGGCTCTTAGAAAAAAAGAAAAACCAAAAAGAACTTGTTACAGATCCAAGAGAGGGTTTAAACAAAACATGAGAACACTTTCAAAAGCAGTTCAGACTATGTTACTTTGATTAGAATCTTTAAGAGAAGAACTAAAAGATTATTTATAGATCCAAAGAAGAAATACTAAAGAAAATATAACTCAGGGGTTTTAGAAATCACTTATATATTAATCAAAGCAGCAAGCACCTATACACAAAAAATTTTTTGCCTATTTGCAGAAAGCTGCATTCTTTTAGATGCAGAAATTATTAAGAAACAGCAAATTAGTCAAAAAATACAAAACTACCTATTAGAGAAGAACAGAAAATTACAAGAATACTTCCTAGCACAGTTTAAATTTTATACTGATAGATCTTTAAGAAATAACAGAAGACAATCTCAATCAAAATCAGACAAAATAAGTGCAAGCTAAATATTAATAGATAAAGAAAATAGAGAAATAATTGATGAAGGATATTTTGGAGCAAGAAATTGCCAATTCTCAACAAAAGCAGAGCTACTTAGAATCTGATATGTACTGCTTATCGCACTTAACAAAAAGAAGGTCAAGATTTGCACAGATAGTACAGTAGCTATAACTTAGGTCAAAGGAAAAAAATAAAATAGATTGACAAGACAATAGTTTAAGAAAAGAAATTACGATCTGGTAAAATGCATTTTAGATATAATAGAAATAAAGAAATTATGACTAGAATTAGAAAAGGTTAAAGGTTATAGTAATAATAGTTGGAACAATAGAGCAGATAAATTAGCTAAATTAGGATCTAAAATAGTAGATAGAGATAGAATTATAGAAAAACCTCCTCAGGAGTCGAACGTCACTTTATACTGGGAAGAGACAGTAGTTGAAGACTCTACAAGAGAATTCCTACGAATGATTCTCAACCTCAAAACAGGAGTAGAATGGAAGTCTTCTTCAGCTATAAGGAAATTAGAACCTGAAGACAGCGTACAAAATCAATACTAGCCCATTATATTGAAAAAGATCAAAGAGCAGAGTGGTGTCCAATGTACAAGTTCAAAGAGAAACAAGCATCTAGGTGTGCTGATTAAATGCTTACATGAGAAATTACCAGTACTTAAGACATTATTAGCCAGAAAACCAAAGTTACATGACAGTCCTACATGTATAATATGTGAAAAAGGTGAAGAAGAAGATCAAGAACACTTGACGATATGTGAGAAGTATGAAATTAAATAGAAAGATGCAGAACAATTAGCCTCGAACTTGGCCTGGACAGCCCTATCAGAAGAAACCTGCAGTCAACTTGACAGAATACAGCTTAGAAAGACTTTGTGGGGTTCATCGAAAGAAGAAAAGAATGAAACTAGGGCCAGCGTACTTAAAGGTTTGATTAAAGAAGAGGTCGCGAAAAGAATCCTCGAAATGGTAGGAAGTCTGAAAGAACTTAGAATCTACATAGACACTGTGATCAACTCAGCTTGGAATTACTTCTATGAAAATATTTGGAAGCCAAGATGTGCATATATAAATGAATGGAAAAAGAAGAAAGGAATTAACCCAAAAGAAAAGAAAAGAAAGAGAAAAGCCCTAGTCCCGAGAAGCCAAATCCCAGCAATAAAGAGAGAGAATCGATTCCAGAAGGAGAAAACAGTCAAGATCAAACCAAGGGAAAAGTTAAAAAGAAAGAAAACAATGAATGCAAAGAGGAGGAAATAAAAGAAAGTACTTGGTTTGAAGCAATTAAAAATTTTATTAAAAATAAAACGAAACCATTCTGGTATGATTTTACAGACTAGCTTGGTGCAGCCCTCTGGTGCGGGCATATGCTTTATCTGGTGAGGCAGACCGTCCCTGGACGCTCAATAGAGTAGCTGGGGAATGTCGAATCTATAGCTTAGATAGTTGAATATATGTTTATGTATATGTTTTGATCTAATAAAGATACCGGCGAGGCTGCCAATAAATTAAAAAAAAAATAATAATAAAAGAATGAATGTTCTATAAAATAGTGGGTAATATAAGAAATAAACTTCACTAATAAAAATATTTTAAAAACTTTGTTTAAAAGTCCAAGATTATTTAATATTTCAAATAATGTATTAGCAATATTTTCTCCTGAATGAACTCCTTTTAATTGAATAAAATTATAAATTATTTGTTATAAATTCCAATTATCATCAATTCAGTAATGATTAGTAATCATTAATTTTTTAATATCAGAGTTGCGGAGTTGGCAAAGTTTGACTACCTATTCTATAGAACATCTAAGAGAATATTATAGATCTTATAAGTTTTCAACCAAAAAAAAAATTTTTTAAAAGTTCATTATATTTTTCTATTTCCAGCAATCTTAAGTTTCTTTCTCTATTTGCTGTTCCTAAAGACTTCTCTGGTTTGAATACTAAACACAAAAGAGAATTCACCCAAATAAAAAGACAGAAATGCTTGATCTTTTTGCAAACTATCCAAAATATTTACATCTGGTATGTCACATTTAAAACCTTTGTTGACAACAATTTGTATTAAAAAAACTTCAGATTGTTGTTAACTTCTGACCTTGAGTCTTCAATTTTGCTTTTAGTAATAGTTGATACAAGTAATAGTTGAAAAGAGTTGTATATTTACTAATTAATTCTATTTTATTCTTTAAATAAACTTGTTTAATATAAAAAAATACATATATATTTAACTCAAATTAGTACTTCGAACCAAACTCGAATCAAACTTATAATTAAATTTGAATTTGGTTTAAATTTGAAACTATATATAGTAAAATTTAGAGTTTGAGAGGATTTTGGGGTTTGATAAACCCGAACCAAACCGGACTTGAATCTAGAAGCTCTAATACAAACAGGTAGCCCTCATTAAAAAATTGTGCTCGGGCTGTATAAAGAATTATTTCTTTGCTATTAACACCTGTATATATCAACGTAATTATATAATCAATAGATTAATATTAACAAGTATTACTTATAGTTTAATTTTTACTAGTGTTTTCATGACAAAAATAATTATAACTTCTTTAAAAAAGCAAAATATGTATATTACTGAAAAATAAGCAACCAAAATGTTACAAAAAAAAGACTTTTTAAGCAAAAGTGAAGAGGTTGCTTATATTAGGGTCTAATTTTATTAGTAAAATATAAAACCTTCACCAAATTTTCTGCTCAAAATCTGGGGGTTGCTTATTTTCGGTAATATACGATAACAAGTTTTTATTAATTTTTTAATTTTGATTTTTAATCAGAACTAAATTCGTTATAAAAAATTGTACTTTTTTCTCTATTTATTAAAATATAGAAGAAGTGACAAGTGGTATAAATTTAAAAATAAATGTACATTACAAAATACAAAAAGACGTCGCACAATCAAAATGTCAATTATGCAATTATTACACAAAGCAAAATTAAACTGACCAAGTTAAGTGATCCTTTTTTCTTTAAATGATAGTACGTCGTCTTTTATGGATCACGCGTTTTTCTGATCCTTCCACAAGATTTGGTTCGGTGGAATCCGATTTCTTGATGTTCTTTAACTGAGAAATCATTCGTTGTCCATGATGTAAGATAATTGGTTCTTCCCTAACGACTTCTTTTTTTGGAGTAAAACGAACGGAATTACGGGATGATCCAACTACAACCTTATTATTGGATTTTTTTTCCAGCTCAATGTCCATGTAAGACGTTTCTTCACTTGAAGAATTGTCAAAGTCTTTAAATAAAGGTCGACCAGAGAAATCAACGACAGTTGCTTTTTTGTTAGATTTTTTTGGCTTATCTTGAAACGTATGAGTTCGTTTTCCCTTGTACCGCTGCATTTCATCTTTGTAACGTTCCCTCGTTGCGTTTTGCCGGTCTCGATATATCTAATATTTATATAAAATCTAGTTATGGAAGCAAAATACGAATAATCCTGACTTGATTTACCTGTTTGTCACTTTCTGTCATTTCTCTCCACAGTACACCGGCATCTTTCATAACTTGCGTAAGAGATTCATTAGGATGACTGACTTTGACCTTAGCGTAGTAATCTTCAAAGAAGTAACCGAAAGAACCCTTCGGTATTGTTGGCATCTTTATTGATGTTTTAGAGCGTGTGTTCTTTAATGTTTCTTTGGTATTGATCGGCATTTTCTGTGGACTACTCCTTTTCTTTTGTTTTGAATTAATATCATTTTTGGAATTTTGATTACCCGCTTGAACACCATCGAACATAACTCTTAATTTCCGTGTCCCATCTGCACTTCTTGTGTTGTATCGTTTAACTTTAAGGTTCTTTGACGTTTTTGGTACAGTCCGAGACGGTTTTTTTGACTCCTCTATTTTTGTTGTAAATTTGTTATCAATGGGCTCCAAGCTTTTTGAATCATTTTGATGCACATAGTTAGCGTCTTTCATTTTTTCCTTTACTTCTTTTAGTTGTTCATGCTTTTGACTTTTCGTTGAAATGATATTGCCTAGTTCATTCGGATCACATTCACTAAACACATGATCATCGTAACCTATCAACACTTGCATACCCAATTGAATGTTCTTATTGTTCACATCAATACTATCGGAATCAATTTTGGAATCCTTCCTAGTTATCTCCTTAGTCATATCAATGCTGCACGATTCAATTGGCTTGTTACTTGTTGTTGATGCGGAAGAAAAATTTTGAAAATTCATTACACGGGAAGCATCATCAATTTCAATTACCCCAAGGAGCTCTTCTAAAACAGATAAATTCGAACTAACATAATCAGTCGATTCGACATCAAATTTCATGCCTGGAGGGAGTACTTGCATTAGTTCCTCATATGCAGTGGTAGCATTTCTGACGGCCTTACTAGCTTCCTCAAAAGCAGTTTTTACCTAAGAAATCAATGACCATTGTAAGTGATCCTATTTGTAAAATTTAACTACGTTGAAATGAATTTGAACATATATTTACCGCTTGTTTCTTAACAGATACTGCTGGAATTCCTTGTTCTTTTATGTTGATATCGTTGCCTTTACTATTTTTCAATGCATCAAGAGGATCTTGATTCCTTGTAAAATTAGTACTTTCGTGAGAATATTCATCTCCAATAGTTGACGATTTATCTGGACTCAAAATTGAATTTTGAACGAACGGACTTGCATTAATTAGCGGTTTTGACGTAGATATTTCGTCAACATTTTCAGCAATTCCTGACAAATGACTAACAATTCGGGGATCGTGCAATCTCAACAATTCTGTAGTCATCAAAACCGAGATGTCTAATCGCGTAATTGCGTGAATAAACACGATGGGACCTTGAAATTTTATTGGCTGTTCATATACTAAGAATAGATAACCAATCAAATACGTGTTATTTTCGCAGATACATGCAAGGCGCGTTGGGTGTCTACTGCGAGTCTAATTTACAGGTGATAGTTGTTAATCAATAGCGAACGGATTCGGTATTTGTAACGGGTATTTTATAAAGGGATCTTAATATGAAACTCGTTGCATAAACCGATCCGTGATTCGAATCCATAGTTTGAGAAACCTGCTTTGGTACAGGTATCTGTGAGAAACAGGTTAAGCCTGTTGCCAGTAGTTTATTTTCAATATTATAATCATATACTGTATATCGATATGCAGTTTTAGTTATGAAACGCTACTTTCATACCCGTTAAAAATACCGAATCCGTTCGATCTTCTTTTACACACGTTTAAGTTCTGCACGCAATAGTATAAACTATAGAAAAGTCGTCTTATTTCGTCTTTAATTGCTCCCGTTATATCTAATATTCTTGGATTTTAATAAATGAATACATTTTATAGTAGAACTGGGATCTTTTGATGAATATTCAATGAATATTCACGGGTTTTAATCATCCACGAGTAGATAGATATTCATGCATTTACTAATTTCACCTCCAAGTTTCTGATTCTGGCCAATCAGAATGCAAGAATGGTTCCGTTCAACTTTTTGGTGCACTATATTTTTTCCTATTTTAGAAAGTGTTATGGTTGGACTTGACTTCTTTCTTTCTTTCGTGGATCTGCCTCTTTAATTTTTTCTTCATCAGTGATTACTTCGTCTAAAACCAATTGCGCGGGGATATTGTAAGTCATCAGTCAGTAAAAAGTACGTACGTACGTCTGAAAACCATGCGTTACTTTTGCAGTTCTTATTGGTTATAGGCTCTGATCATATGTTGCTGCGGATTATAGGATGATAGGAACCGTAGGAACCGTAGGAAAATTAGCAATCGCCAAAAAGTACGTCAGGTGTAACTTGAAGTTCGAAAAGTCAAATTTATTTCAAAATTTCGCCTAAGAAATCACCTTGGGCAGGGTTGGCACATTTGTCCATTGGTATGAATGGACCCCAGGTCCATTGACCAGTTCCATTGGTTCCATTGGACGGTCACTATTCCAATGAACCAATGGACAATAATTATATAGCTTTTATAAATGAGTTTAGAATATTATACCACGTGATATTTGAGATTTTTTTGGTATTGACCTTATTTTGGCTTATGCTAATGGACTAATGGACCAATGGATTATGATATTGGTCCATTAAGTTCCATTGACAACCTTATTTTCAATGGACATAGTCCATTGCCAACCCTGCCTTTGGGGCACTAACAAAAAAAATTCTTTGCAAACCCCAAACCCTAACTTAGGTGTCGCATTTTAAATAAAAAGTACTGTAGTCACTGACCAAAAGACCCGGGGTCTAATACAAAATACCCGTCAAAAAACTTACAAAAGACCCAGGTATATTATACAGCAGTGAGTCTGTGTTGCAAGAAGAGAAATTTCATTTATATACATACTTCACATTCATGATAAGCAGTCTAAAAATTTAAAAAACCTATTTTTAATTAATAAAGATCTCATGTTTTGCACCGAATATTTTGCAAGGGGGGATATTGAAAAAGGGGGATATTTTGGTCAGTGTGCTACTGGGGTATTTCATATACTAAGTAATCAAGTCTATATGAGATATTATAATAAAAATTACTAGTACAGATTTTTTACATATTATTTGATATTTCTGCTTTCATGTATGCCATGGCAATGTTGGCCAATAGAATTTCAAAATCAGTATGTAATAAAAAAATCTGTGTAATTAAAAAATTATTGATATCAATTATAAAATTACATTAACATTAAAGCTATTGTACTTTAATAATAAAAAACTTTAATGATATAAAAACTTCATTGGGATAATTTTTTAAAAAGATTGTTTGCAGCTTGTTTATATTGTAGATCTAAATGAAGAATTGAGGAAGCAAAATTTTTTTGTTTGTAGATTATTCTATTTTTATTTCAAATGTTTTTAAGTTGTTTATCAATAAACTGAAAGTCTTTAATTTCAGTTACTAAAAGTTGCATTTTGGATTGTTAAGTTTTAGCAATCATGTTAGAGTGAGTTTTTAAATCTTATTTATTAAAAAGATCTTCTATTTAAAGTCAGTAAAAATAGGACAAATTTATCTAATATAGTAAATTTGTTCTATTTCTATTTTTTTTTTTTTAACTAGCCTTTTTAAGGTTAAGGTTTTTATTCAAGTTATTTGGATGGGAAGGTTCACAACAGAACTCTCTTATATTAGAGAGTACAACTAGCTATATATGCAACTTTTGGTGGCTTATTAAATAGTTTGTATATCAGTATTATACTATAGAGATTATATTATTTATTATATTTATAATCCAATTAGGAGATTATCTATTTAAACCTTTTGTAATACAACTTACTTGTATCATCAGTACATCTTTATTATATTTGTCAATCGAGAAGTCTCAGATGCTTTTTTTATTTTTTTAGAACTAATTTATTCTCAAGGCATCATTGTTAGAGTTTTTTATACTTACAATCTGGCTAATCTAAACTTTAATAACTTATGCTATGTTCAAAAACAAGTATTTGCAGGCCAAAGCTGCTATTGTTACCTACTTTTGCTCTTGTAGAGTTTATTCAAACTCTAGCAGCCACTATATGGACTATTTATCATTCTTTTAGTTTCTCCAAACTTTCAATTCAGATAGCTTAGAAGAGTGATTCCTTTTTCTAATTACTTAGCAGTTTAGTTGGTATAATGTTTTTGTCAAATACCTCAGTTCTGTTTAGTTTTTTTTTCTAATTCGGCTATTCTGCCCTTGTTTATTTAAGATCAAGTAATTTATCTCTAACTAAAGTAGATCCAACCAAATGAAGAACTTGCTCACGTGATTTTATATACTAGGCATGACTTGTCTCAGTAGCTTTTGGCCTCTCTTAGGGTCTTTAACTCACTAAGGATTTTTTTCCCGTTGTTCATTAGCTGATGGCTACCTGCTCATTAAGAAGCAAAATCAGAAATTAAAATAAACAAACTAAAAAAAAAACACAGAGTTATAGGGAACTATGGTAAAAGAATACAAAATACAAAAAAAAAAAAAGGGGTAAAGAAATATTAAAAAAAACAAAAACAAAACAGAAAATTTGTTAATCTTAATACCATGGTTATAAGCCTGTGGGTGGTTTGAAAAAATTATATACTGACTAGACAAATTAGTCTCACTTTTATTTTTCTCTAAACTAGTATACGAAAGTAAAAACCTAATAGAAAAAATTTCATCGACTAGCTTAAGGTAGAGAGGTCAGAACAGAGTTTCAGAGCATCATTTGTATAAATATCTATTGCATTCGATACATATATTTGTTATCACATTCTGATTTGGGAGATAAATAATGCCAACTTGTTTGGTATACGTGATGTTGATCATTTGGAGGGGGTAAGCTAAAATGCACACTTTTTACAAAATTTTTCTCGAAAAAAAGTGGTAGCTTAATGAAAGTATGTGAGGTTCTTCTTATAAGTTTTATAGTTGTATAGTCTAGCTTCTTCATTTCTACTACTTAGAAGTGCATGTTGGCTACTTTTACAGACTTGTTCTCAGAATAAACCTTCTGGTTTAGATGTCGAATACTTTGGAGAGTCTGCCAGAAAGAAAACTGTCCGTATTCTTTTGATATCTGCTTTTCGGTATTTCATGTTTAGATGCTTAGACTTTATTGACAACAAGCTGCTCCTACTTATAGGACCAAGTTTTAGTATCTATTTTGTCACTTTTCTATATATTTTGCTATAGTTCAGTTTTTGTTGTTGTTGACCAGAGGATCATCAGAAAGAGTTGTGATGCCTATTTGGTTTTTCAGTTTTTTGGTTGATAATCCTTTATATAATATTATAAAAGTCTGTACTACCCTTCTACTCAGAATGTGTCAAGCGAGCTTTTGTATACCTCAACTCTTAGATTTACTTAGCTGATTCACCTAGGTTTCATATAATTTATACATTATTCTAATTTTATATAGCCTCTCAGTACAAGCTAGTATAACTAAAGTTATAGATCAGTTGATCCATTAGATTATACACAGTTGCTATAACACATTTTGTAAAATTTAAATTTCATTACTAGTAAGATTCAAACTTTTGTTTACTATTTGGAAGTGTAACAACTTGCCAACTTCACTAAGTCACCACATCTCTTGTTCTATTTTTATTAACTTCTCTTTATTTATTACTAGTAGATAATAATATATCAAATTTTGTTTTTAATAAAGTGAAGTAGAACTGTTAATTTATTAATAAATAGACCAAATTCTTAAAAAAATTTTTATTATTTAATATATTTTTAAAACCAAAATCATTAAATTTTTTTACAATATCTGTTTTAAGAAACTTTGTATTATAGTTTTTTAACTACAATGTGTTAATAATTATATTCAAATTTTTTGATATTATTTTTATCAAGAAGACACATGCTTAAGGAAAGATGAAGCTAACAATCCAACTATTTATAATGCAAGTTAAGTGGTTTTATTACAAAATCCTGACATCCAAAATCTTGAAATTATAATTATAATGTAACAATTAATATTTAAAGATTAATAATTATATTAACAATAATTATCAAACTTATTTGAAGCATATACTGATGGCTCACTACTAGAACTGCAAGAAATAGCAAGTAAAACCAAGATAGGAGTAGGGTAGATCCTACAAATGCAAGAAAAAAGACAATTAAAAAAGGTAGCAGATTTTAATTGTGCTATAATAGGCTGGCTCTCATCAACAAGAACAGAGCTAGATGCAATCTTGACTGTCTTTTAGTCTTGCCAGAAGGAGCATCTATAAAGATATATGGGGACTGTCCAACTAAAAGGGGGCTTATGGCATTTTTTGCAAAAATGAGTTAGCTATACTATCATATAA